GGGCCCCAACTCTGTCCAATGGGGCATTTGCTCTCCCTCCAAATTTGGGGTCCCATCTGCCTATGGAGCCAGACTGCCTTCTCTTCCATTGCTGCCCAAGCCATGGATAAACACTCCGAATGGGTCCAAAAGGCCCGGGACAGGACTCCCTTTGTGGGGCCTTCCCTCCTGGAAGAAGAGGGTGTCTACACCAATTTGGGGGTCCCCTTTGGAGCCTATTGGCGGGGGCCCCTTCATTGCCTCCTTGGTGCCGTGACCGTTGAGGGAATGCCCCTTTGGGAAATGCCCCACAACCTCTGGGCTGCTTTCCCTTCCTAGTTTGCTTTCATTTCCACCTCTCGGGGCTTCCCCAGATCCCCCACCCACTTATTTATTTATTTATTATTTATCTCCCAGCTTTATTTCCCTCCCTTCTCAAAGGCAACAATATTAACGCATCAGTAAATAAACAAAAACTTTAAAACCCAAACCCATTACAAACATAACATAGCATTGAAACATCAATTGAAATCGCATGATCCAAATTATATTCCAAGGCCAGTCCGAGTCAACATATCAATTCGTAGTTTCATATTGCACTACTCCCATTACTGCCCGAAAGGCTGTTCCCAGAGCCATGTTTTCAGGAGGGATGGGGCAGGTCTAATTTCACTGGGGAGGGAGTTCCATAGCCAAGAGGGGCCACCAGTGAGAAGGCCCTGTCTCTCGTCCCACCAGTCACGCTTGCGAGAGGAGTGGGACTGAGAGCGTGACCTCCCCCGATGATCTTAATCCCGAGGTGGGTCATACGGGGAGATGCGTTCAGACAGGTAAACTAGGCCGGAACCGTTTAGGGCTTTATAGGCTAAAGCCAGCATTTTGAATTGTACTCGGTATTCTATGATTCTATGACAGGCCAATCTTGGAGGCAATAAGAGCTGGTTGTGGTGCCTTAACTGTTGTTGTTGTTGTTGTTGTTGTTGTTGTTGTTATTCTATTTGTTTATACTCTGCGTTAAAGGTAAATGTGGCAACTCAGGGTAGTTTTCACCTTGCTCCAGACACCACCACACCAAGGCTGTAGGTTTTTGCAGTTTATTGAGAAAAGCAAAATCAAAACAAAGAAATAGAAATGCAATAGTTCCACAGGCAAAACAGAGACTTAAATGGAAAGGCAAAGTTCCCAAGATCCAAAGGCAAAAACATGAAGCATAATCCTTTAGCAATGGTTAAACAAAAGTCCATGGTAAACAGTTGAAAACAAGACCCAAATCCCAGACTCAGGAAGCCAGAAGCGTGCTGCTAAAAGCCAAGGAAAATCTCCAGAAGTTAACATGGGAAGAGCAATGTTGGACTGACAAAAACTGCCTGTCAGCTACAAGACTAAATACCCTTTGCGAACATGAAAGCATTGCGTTGACCTTTGGCACCTTTGGCTTCTCGCTTGCTGGCCAAGCGAGTGTTTCTCCGAAGCCTTAATTGCAAACGATCTTGCCTGCTCATTAATTCATTATCTTCAAGGCTATGCAACCCCTTATCTGGGTCCAACTGGGACGGATCCTCCACCTGGCCATGTGGGATTTCACTCTCGCTATCAGTCTCTCTAACTAAAGGAACATTCCTTTCCCCGGGGAACTGACTTGCTGTTTCTCCTTCAACAGCCACACTATCAGCCCCATCTGAAACATGTGCAGGAATCTGTAACCCATCAGCCTCCTCGTCATCCTGCAGGCCAAAGTCAGGCTCAGAAGGCCCAAACAGCTCAGCTTTAAGCTCAGAGTCAAGCTGAGTCACAACACTAAAAGTAAAGGTTTTCCCCTGACATTAAGTCCAGTTGTGTTTGACTCTAGGACTCTGGTGTTCATCTCTATTTCTAGGCCAAAGGGCTGGCATTGTCCGTAGACACCTCCAAGGTCATGACTGCATGGAGTGCCATTACTTTCCCACCTATTGATCTACTCACTCTTGCATGTTTTCGAACTGCTAGGCTGGCAGAAGCTGGGGCTAATAGTGGGAGCTCAACCCACTCCCCGGATTCGAACCTGCAACCTTTCGGTCAGCACGTTCTGCCACTCAGCAATTTAACTAGGTGCTCCTAAATACTCTGCTTTATCTCTCCCAGGGATTGTGGGAGTGGCAGTTCAAAAATAAGACCTTGCCCCAAGCCTAGTAGGTCTTGCTTGCCTGAGAAATCCCTATAGAACGAATGGGGTTGCCCTAAGGGGCCAAGGGCACTAGGGTCTGACCTGCCTCTTTGGCCAAGTGGACCTGCAGCCTCTCCGTTTCCCCCTCTCAAAGTCAACACGGTCTACGAGGCGCATGGCTCCTGGATTCCTTATCATATTAATCAAATACTGTGTTTATCAAATATTGATGCCCCCCCCCCCAAGGCTCCCAGCGCTGCCCGCGTACAATCCTCTTAAACACCATTGAAGAATAGGAATAATTTAAACACTCTAAAAGCCTATTAATAACTGATAAGCCCAGACTCTTAACACCTGGAAAAGGAGTTTAAGACTATTGTAATCCATGAGCATGTGGAGAGAAGGGCAAAGCCACATTAGGCCCCAGAATCCCTCTTGTTAGTGTTGTTGATATCGAGCAAGAATTTAGGGATACCGAGATAGCCATTAGTCTTAGAATTCTCCCAGGAGTAGAATGGCACCGATTTTGAAACGATCCGTTAACTCGCGGATACGGGGACCCGATGGGTTTCCGTATACACGGTTTTAAAGAGCGCAGTTTCGGCCTCCCCAGGACACAAAGATTGTGTTCTGGGTGGGCTGGCAGCCATCTTTCCTGGGAGAGGAAAGGTTCATCCAGAGAGAGGTTAGGGGCAATAAAAAGACACAAAGTAACACTATAGAGAGGGGAAAAGTTACAATTAATTGACACTTTATTGGGGGGATTTGCTACAATGTTAGCAGAGGGGAAGAAAGTGAAGCAAGTGAAGAGATTCTTGTTTGAAGCTGCTGCTGTGGCCACGTTCGGGGCAATAGAGAACTGAGGAACTCCCTGCTGCAGGTCAGATCAGCTTGAAAGCAGGGAGTTCTGGGTTCAATCTCATTGTTGCTGTTGTGGCTAGAGACCCAGAAGATGTAGTGGTGGGTCTTTATTTTGTCCTTGCCTCAAAATTAGGTTTTGTGGTTTCCAGAGTATTTTCCCTTTTGGTTTTCCTTGGCCTTTGGGTCAATTGGGGGAATTGACACCAAATCTGGACACAAGACACCTAACAACCCAATGTATGTCCTTCACTCATAAAAACACGGAAAACACAGCAGAAGGGACTTAAAAAGCCCAAAAAGAAGGAAAGCTAAATGAAAGAAAGAAAGAAAGGAGGAAAGAAAAGAAAAGAAAAGAAAAGAAAAGAAAAGAAAAGAAAAGAAGGAGGGAAAGAAAGAAAGAAAGAAAGAAAGAAAGAAAGAAAGAAAGAAAGAAGGAAAGAAAGGGAGAAGGAAGCATGGAAGCAAAGAGAGAAGGAAGGAAGGAAAGAGATAGAGAAGGAAGAAAGGAGAGAAAGAGGGAGGGAAAGAAAAAGGGGAAGGAAGGAAAGTTAGAGAAGGAAGGTTGGTGGGCTACAACTCCAAAACTCAAGGTCAATGTCCACCAAACCCTTCCAGTATTTTCTGTTGGTCGTGGGAGTTTTGTATGCCAGGTTTGGTTCAATTCCATTATTGGTGGAGTTTGGAAGGCTCTCTGATGGTAGGTGAAATCCCAGCAACTACAACTCCTAAACGACAAAATCACAGGGGTCTCTGGATGTAGGGGAACTACAACTCCAAAATTCAAGGTCAATGCCCACCAAACCATTCCAGTATTTTCTGCTGGTCATGTGACTTCTGTGTGCCAAGTTTGGTTCAATTCCGTCATAGTTGGAGTTCAGAATGATCTTTGATTGTAGGTGAACTATAAATCCCCGCAACTACAACTCCCAAATGTCAAGGTCTATTTCCACAAACACCGCCAGTGTTCACATTTGGGCATATTGAGTATCTGGCTAAGTTTGGTCCAGATCCATCATTATGTGCTCTCTGGATGTAGGTGAACTACAACTCCAATTCCATCATTGGTGGAGTTCGAAAGGCTCTCTGATGGTAGGTGAAATCCCAGCAACTACAACTCCCAAACGACAAAATCACAGGGGTCTCTGGACATAGGGGAACTACAGCTCCAAAATTCAAGGGCAATGTCCACCAAACCCTTCCAGTATTTTCTGATGGTCGTTGTAGTTTTGCATGCCAAGTTTGGTTCAATTCCATTATTGGTGGAGTTTGAAAGGCTCTCTGATGGTAGGTGAAACCCCAGCAACTACAACTCCCAAACGACAACATCACAGGGGTCTCTGGATGCAAGTGAACTACAACTCCCAAACTCAAGGTCAATGCCCACCAAACCCTTCCAGTTTTTCGTGCTGTTCATGGGAGGTCTCTTTTCCAAATTTGGTTCAATTCTGTTGTTGTTGGATTTCAGAATGCTCTTTGATTGGAGGTGAACTATAAATCCCAGCAACTACAACTCCCAAATGACAAAATTAATCCTTCCCCCAACTCCACCAGTATTCAAATTGGGGTGTATTGGGTATTTGTTCCAAATGTGGTCCATTGCGATTCTTAACAGTAGACTTGGGAAGGAATGCTCGGGGCGTCTGCAAGCGGTGGCTCTGCTTTGGTCTCCTTTGGGTCCTCCTCCTTCTTCCCGGCTGCCTTCCTATCTCATTCCAGGAATGTCTGGCACTGCCTTGCCTTCAGAGGCCTCCCTGTCTTCCTATTTATCTTCTTTACGGGCAGGAGGGGGCCGGATGCAGCCGGAGCGGTGGCAATGGGGCAGATGGTGGCAGATAGGCGCCGTTTATCACCTCACCCAATAAACCGCAAGACGGGAAGCCGAAGCACAGCTGCAGCCAGGAGGAGGAGGAGGAGGGGGCGCAATGTGGTTTCTTTTGGGGTGGCGAGTGAGACAGTGCGGCAGAGACGCACAAAAGTCTTGCTTGCTAAGCCTTGTCTCTCTCTCTCTTCTGCTCAGAACCTGGTGCTGGATCGGGGCCCCAACTGCAACCCGACGCAATACAAGCAGGGCAACCAGTGCTGCAAGAAGTGCCCCCCAGGTAGGACATGCATGAGTTGTCCGTCCCCTTCCCTGGTCAGTCTAGACCCCCTATTTATTTATTTATTTACTTACTTACTTACTTACTGTTTTTGTATCCCGCCTTTCTCAGCCCATCAGTGACTCAAGGCGGTTTCCAACAAATCAGTACATATAAAAACATAATCATAGAATCAAAGAGTTGGAAGAGACCTCATGGGCCATCCAGTCCAACCCCATTCTGCCAAGAAGCAGGAATATTGCATTCAAAGCACCCCTGAGAGATGGCCATCCAGCCTCTGTTTCAAAGCTTCCAAAGACTTAGCCACGGTAGTCCACGCTCTGGTTACATCCCGCCTTGACTACTGCAACGCTCTCTACGTGGGGTTGCCTTTGAAGACAGGCCGGAAGCTCCAATTAGTCCAACGGGCGGCAGCCATGATACTAACAGGAGCGGGGCGCAGGGAGCATACAACTCCTCTGCTGCACCAGCTCCACTGGCTGCCGATATGCTACCGGGCCCAATTCAAAGTGCTGGCGTTGGCCTTTAAAGCCCTAAACGGTTCTGGCCCAACTTATCTATCCGAACGTATCTCAGCCTATCAGCCCACCAGGACCCTAAGATCTTCTGGAGAGTCCCTGCTCTCTATCCCGCCGACTTCACAAGTGCGGCTGGCGGGAACGAGAGACAGGGCCTTTTCTGTGGTGGCCCCTCGGCTTTGGAACACCCTCCCTATAGAGGTACGATCAGCCTCCTCGCTGATGGTTTTTCGGAAGAGATTGAAGACTTGGATGTTTAAACAAGCATTCGGTTAATCCGTCGCAACAAATTTTGATGACTAAGGACTGGTAATCATGGACGACGAATTTCGGATTGTGATTTTAGTTATGAGATGCTTGGGATTATTATTGGTGGCCCAATAATTTGTATTGTATATGTGTCTTATGTTTTAAATTGAATACTGTTTTTTAATTGTTGTAAACCGCAATGAGTCGCCGACTTAGGCTGAGATATTAGCGGTATACAAGCGTATAAATAAATAAAGAAGGAGCCTCCACCACACTCCCTCCGGGGCAGAGAGTTCCACTGCTGAACGGCTCTCACAGTCAGGAAGTTCTTCCTCATGTTCAGATGGAATCTCCTCTCTTGTAGATCATAACAATCTTTTCCAGAATCTTAAACAATATAAAACACCACAACGGCAATAAAAACAACATCATTAGCATCTCATTATTATCAAGCATTGTCCAGTTGCATTGTCAAATCATTCCTGGTGCCATCCCCTCCCCCCAAAAAAGTTTACACAAATACAAACATATCCTTCTCGTATTGTTGAAGGCTTTCATGGCCAGAATCACTAGGTTGTTGTAGGTTTTTCGGGCTGTTTGATGGCTTGGCAGTAACAAGCCGCACCTAAAAACTGCCAGGGCATCAAATGCTACTCAAGGTGGCCAATGGAAACATTCACACCTCCCTCCAACAGAGAAGAGCTCTTTCTCCCACCCAGGACATTATTCCACAGATATATCAACCCCATTTTCCTAGTTTCCAACAGACCTCAGAACCTCTGAGGATGCCTGCCAGAGATTACAGGAGAAACGTCAGGAGAAAATGCTACTAGAACATGGCCAGGCAGCCTGAAAAACGTACAACAACCCATATCATTTTTTGAATTGCTTTGGCCTGTTCAACATCTTTATGAATGACTTAGGTGAAGGGCTAGAAGGCAGGATCATCAAGTTTGCAGACGGGACCAAATTGGGAGGGAGAGCCAATAGTCCAGAGGACAGGAGCAGAATTCAAAACGATCTTGACAGATTAGAGAGATGAATGGCCAAAACTAACAAAATGAAGTTCAACAGTGACAAATGCAAGATACTCCACTCTGGCAGGAAAAAATGAAATGCAAAGATACAGAATGGGGGACGTCTGGCTCGAGAGCAGGACGTGTGAAAAAGATCTTGGAGTCCTCGTGGACAACAAGTTAAACATGAGCCAACAATGTGATGTGGCGGCAAAAAAAGCCAATGGGATTTTGGCCTGCATCAATAGGAGCATAGTGTCTAGATCTAAGGAAGTAGTGCTACCCCTCTATTCTGCTTTGGTTAGACCACACCTGGAATATTGTGTCCAATTCTGGGCACCACAATTCAAGAGAGATATTGACAAGCTGGAATGTGTCCAGAGGAGGGCGACTAAAATGATCAAGGGTCTGGAGAACAAGCCCTATGAGGAGCGGCTTAAGGAGCTGGGCATGTTTAGCTTGAAGAAGAAGGCTGAGAGGAGATATGATAGCCATGTATAAATATGTGAGAGGAAGCCACAGGGAGGAGGGAGCAAGCTTGTTTTCTGCTTCCCTGGAGACTAGAACAAGGAACAATGGCTTCAAACTACAAGAGAGGAGATTCCATCTGAACATGAGGAAGAACTTCCTGACTGTGAGAGCCGTTCAGCAGTGGAACTCTCTGCCCCGGAGTGTGGTGGAGGCTCCTTCTTTGGAGGCTTTTAAACAGAGGCTGGATGGCCATTTGTCAGGGGTGATTTGAATGCAATATTCCTGCTTCTTGGCAGAAGGGGGTTGGACTGGATGGCCCATGAGGTCTCTTCCAACTCTTTGATTCTATGATTCTATGATCCTACCCAGAGATTTCAGTGTTCTCTGTAGCCCACCGGCTTACAGATTCTTCCCTGATTCTCCCACTAGAGAAATCAGTCCTTCCTGCAACTCTAATGGTCACAGACTGCCTATTTCAAACAGCCGTGCAGCTAGTTGACAGTTGGCTCTGCCCCCATTGCTATGGCAACTCTTTTCAAGCCAAACCAGCCACTATCTCTAACAAAATATAATCCTACATACTTACCATTTATTAACTACTGTCTAAACAACACATAACCATAAGAATAAAAGTTACACATCGTCACAATTTATTTATTTATTTATTTGACACATGTATATTCCGCCCTTCTCACCCCAACCCCTAATCCATCTAAAACACAGGCATGTGCCTTTAACCTTAAGAACAGACAAGCATCCCGAGCTCTGAGGATCATTACCTGAGAAGGAATCCCACTAGAGCATGGCAGCGCACCCAAGTACCTGGGAGGAGTCACTCTGGACCGTTCTCTGACCTACAAGAAGCACTGTCTGAAAATCAAGCAAAAAGTGGGCACTAGAAGCGGTATCATACGAAAGCTGACTGGCACAACCTGGGGATCACAACCAGACACAGTGAAGACATTTGCCCTTGCGCTGTGCTACTCTGCTGCTGAGTACGCATGCCCAGTGTGGAACACATCTCACCACACTAAAACAGTGGATGTGGCTCTTAATGAGACATGCCGCATTATCACGGGGTGTCTGCGCCCTACACCACTGGAGAAATTACACTGTCTAGCCGGTATTGCACCACCTGACATCCGCCGGTCAGTGGCAGCCAATAGTGGAAGGACCAAGGCAGAGACATCTCCAGCTCATCCCCTGTTTGAGTATCAGCCAGCACGCCGACGACTTAAATCTAGAAATCGTTTTCTAAGATCTACAGAGACGCTCGCTGGAACACCTCAGCAAGCGAGAGTCCAAAAGTGGCAGGCTTAAACCCAGAACCTCAATCCGTGGGTGATACCAGATGAGAGACTCCCCCCTGGGCACACAGAGGACTGGGCGACTTGGTAGGTGCTGAACAGACTGCGCTCTGGCACCACAAGATGCAGAGCCAACCTCAAGAAATGGGGCCACAAAGTGGAATCTACAACATGCGAGTGCGGAGAAGAGCCAGCCACTGACCACCTGCTGCAATGCACCCTGAGCCCTGCCACATGATGCACAAGGGAGGACCTTCTTGCGGCAACACCAGAGGCACTCCAAGGGGACAGATACTGGTCAAGGGACATTTAATCAACTACCAAGCCTGCAAACTTTGTGTTTTGTCTGTCTGTCTGTCTGTTTTTGTTAAAAATGTAATACAAATGTCTGGTTGCTGATGACACGATAAATAAAAAAATAAATGCTCTCTTCTGCCTTGGTCAGACCGCCACAAGTAAGACAGTGGGTTTCTCCCTCCTCTCTTCACCCCGTTGCCCCCGCCTCGCATTCTGTTTTAAAATCAAAGTTAAATCTCTATTCTTCCAAAATCTTCTTTTCTTCTCGCCAAGTGAGTTAAAAGACTTCCCTCATTTGAGACGCTGTACTTCTATGGATGCAGTCTAGGATCGTATTGGCGTTTTTAGCTGGCGCATCACGCTCTTGGCTCATATTCCGCTTGCGTTTTCTGGAGACTCTTAGAACCTTTTTGCGCCCACTCCTTGCCCGTTCACCTCTCAACCAAGACCCTCACCTGTGCCTGGCCCTCTCTCTTTCTCTTCCAGGCCAGAGGGTGGCAGTGGCGTGCCCGAGCGACTCCTCGGGCGACACGGTCTGCGCTCCTTGCGAGGAGGATCGCTTCCAGTCTGGATGGACCCAGGAGCAGGAGTGCACCCCGCATAAGCAGTGCAGCCAGAGTAAGGGGCGCCCCCTATTCCCCCCTTCCTCTCCCACCGTGTGCACCCCCCGCCCTTACCCACGTCTCTCCTCATTCCAGATGCGGGCCTAGAGGTGCATGTGCCCGGGACGGCCGAAATGGACACCGAGTGCCAATGCCGGAGGGGCACCCACTGCTCCAGCCACGAGTGCCACACCTGCCAATACGACAAGCTCTGTGGGCCTGGGCAGGGGGTCCAGCAGCAAGGTGAGCCAATAGGAAGACCCAGCACAGCCCCATAGCTCCCCATGGGGTCATGGCAGTCATGCGCAGATGGAGCTGGGAAAAGCTGTCGATCAGAGGAGCTGTCGGCTGTATTTACTCGAGTCGTAACGTGCCTAGGAGTCTAGGAGCCTCTGGTGGCACAGTGGGTTAAACCACTGATCTGCTGAACTTTGTTGGTTCAGATCCATGGGATGGGGTGAGCCCCTGCTGTTAGCCACAGCTCCTGCCAATCTAGCAGTTCAAAAACATGTAAATGAGAGTAGATCAATAGGTACTGCTCCGGCAGGAAGGTAATGGCATTCCATGCAGTCATGCCAGCCACATGACCTTGGAGGTGTCTATGGACAACACCAGCTCTTCAGCTTAGAAATGGAGATGAGCACCAGAGTCCCAGAGTTGGACATAACTAGGGTTAATGTCAAGGGGAAGACTTTACCTAATCTAATGTGTGCCTTAAGGGGCTATGGTGGTGCAGCAGGTTAAACTGCTGAGCTGCTGAACTTGCTGACCAGAAGGTTGGTGGTTCGAATGTAAGGTACGGGGTGAGCTCCTGCTGTTAGCCCCAGCTCCTGCCAACCTAGCAGTTCAAAAACATGCAAATGTGAGTAGATCAATAGGTACTGCCTCGGCGGGAAAAGGCAAAAAGTCGCTCCATGTAGTCATGCTGGTTACATGACTTTGGAGGTGTCTATGGACAACGTTGGCTCTTTGACTTAGAAATGGAGATGGGCACCAGAGTCGGACACGACTGGACTTAATGTCAAGGGGAAACCTCTACCTTTACCTAATGCACCATCAAATCTAGTGTGTGCTTTAAGTGGCTACGGTGGTGCAGCAGGTCAAACTGCTGAGCTGCTGAACTTGCTGACCAGAAGGTTGGTGGTTCGAATCTGTGGTACAGGGTGAGCTCCTGCTGTTAGCCCCAGCTCCTGCCAACCTAGCAGTTTGAAAACATGCAAATTTGAGTAGATGAATTTGGCAGGAAAAAACAAAAAGATGTTCCATGCAGTCATGCCGGCCACGTGACCTAGGAAGTGTCTAGGGACAACGCCAGCTCTTCGGCTTAGAAATGATCAGCACCCCAGAGCAGGAAATGAAGGGGATGCTGGTCATCTCCTCAAAACTCTGAAACCAAAAATAAAGTATTTGCTGGTGAGTGTAATGCACAGCAACAAAAAGTGCACTCTATATCATTTGGCCCATTACTTTTTGCTTTGAGTGGTGCAAAAGAAAACCTGGGTGTGCATCTATGTTGGAGAACGAATCCACGTTAACTGCCCTGGCTCAAGGATGATGCCCCTCCAAACTACAACTCCCAGGATCCCATAGCATTGAGATGTGGACTTTAAGTTGGAGATGAATGTCCCTCAAAGAGGAGCTCCAGACGCAGCTCCTGAAGCAGCTTCCTCTGCTGTTTTGGCTCAGCACTAATGCTATAGGATCCTGGGATTTGTAGTTTGGAGAGGCATCAGCCTTGAGCCAGGGCAATTCAACTGGGTTCATTCTCCAGCATAGATGCACACCCAGGATTTTCTTTTCCAAAGCAACAATAACATATTGGAACCATGACATGGCCAACTTGAGCCCTCCAGATGTTTTGGACTTCAACTCCCACAATTCCTAACAGCCTGTCGGCTGTTAGGAATTGTGGGAGTTGGAGTCCAAAACACCTGGAGGGAGGTTCGCAGCTGACCCTTCCTGCTTCCCCATCCTGATCTTTAACACGACCTCTCCTTTGACCCAGCAACCCACGAGCGAGACACGCTCTGCGCCGACTGCCCGGACGGCTTCTTCTCCAATGTCTCTTCGGCCACGGATCCCTGCCAGCCCTGGAGCAGGTAGGAAGGGTCAGTGGTCAGTGTGGACAAGGATTGACCGGGGGGGGGGAGCAGGAGACTCTTCCCCTTCTCTCGCTGCATTTGGAGCCCCCCTGACCTGGCCGGAGGAGAATGGAAACATTTATGGTGACCTTGCTTTACTTACTTAGGTGATCCCTCGTTGTCTGAGTAGGATAATCTTCCAGGGTGGGTCCATAGGTGACTGTGGAGCCCTATCCTTGACCCGCATCATCTCCCACAGTGGGGGCATCGGTTTCCAGGTGGAAGGCTGTCCCACTCGGGGTTGACTTGATGCGCCTTCCTCTTGGCACATTTCTCTCTTTCGCCCTCCATTCGTGCCTCTTCGAATTCTGCAGCACTGCTGGTCACAGCTGACCTCCAGCTGGAGCGCTCAAGGGCCAGGGCTTCCCAGTTCTCAGTGTCTATGCCAGAGTTTGTAAGGTTGGCTTTGAGATCATCTTTCAATCTCTTTTCCTGTCCACCAACATTCCGTTTTCCGTTCTTGAATTCGGAACCATGGGAAAGGGAGGCCGAAGGAGACTCCTCAAGGCTGACGGGATGCTTTTGTTGCACTCCAGGTCAGGAAAAAGCCCTCTGACTATAAAACACACCACATGATGAGTGAAGAAACAAATCTTCTTTTATTGAATCTTAGTAAAATAGCCAGTAGAAATAAATGCTTCTAAGAAAAATAAGAAGGCTCCAAAAAGTAATAAAATGCAGCAACACAAAGCAATGTCCAGACAAGATATAAAAGCTATCCAAGACAGCGTTTATCCAGACAGGAATCAACAGGATGCAAAGACAATCCAAAAGGCTCAAAATCTCCACAGGAACAAGACCCCTTGAACAGGATTTCCATGGCACAAGAACTTGATTTCCAAACAATGCCCGATCTAGCAGGTTTTCCCTTGAAGCAAACCTTATATCCCAAATCCCAGAAACTGGTTTCGTTTTCCACCACACTTGCCCCTTCTCAGACGAAGCCTTTCAAAGTGACATAAACACTGAGTTTGCTGTCGATCCTGGCTGATCTCCAGCCGCCTCTTCTTCAACTCCCTCTCTGGCTGCTCGTTAACATTCCCAGGTTTTATTTATTTATCGTGTCATCAGCAACCATTGTATTACAATTCTAACAGAGCAAAACAAGCACACAGATTAAAAAGAAAAAGGAAGAAAAAAAACACAGATTTTGCAAATTTGGTATTTGGTTAAATGTCCTTTGACCAGTCTCTGGCCACTTGGAGTGACTCTGGGGTTGCCGCAAGAAGGTCCTCCCTGGTGCATCATGTGGCAGGGCTCAGGTTGCATTGCAGCAGGTGGTCAGTGGTTTGCTCTTCTCCACACTCGCATGTCGAGGATTCCACTTTGTGGCCCCATTTCTTAAGATTGGCTCTGCATCTCGTGGTGCCAGAGCGCAGTCTGTTGCGCGCCTTCCAAGTCGCCCAGTCTTCTGTGTGTCCAGGGGGAAGTCTCTCATCTGGTATCAGCTAATAGTCAACATGGATTTATCAAAAACAAGTCATGCCAGACTCATCTGATCTCTTTCTTCGATAGAGCTACAAGCTGGGTAGATGCGGGGAATGCCGTGGATGTAGCGTACCTGGATTTCAGGAAGGCCTTCTTTGACAAGGTCCCCCATGACCTTCTGGCAAGGAAACTAGTCCAATGTGGGCTAGGCAAAACTACGGTGAGGTGGATCTGTAATTGGTTAAGTGGACGAACACAGAGAGTGCTCACTAATGCTTCCTCTCATCTTGGAAAGAAGTGACAAGTGGAGTGCCTCAGGGTTCCGTCCTGGGCCCGGTCCTGTTCAACATCTTTATTAATGACTTAGATGAAGGGCTAGAAGGCAGGATCATCAAGTTTGCAGACGACACCAAATTGGGAGGGATAGCCAATAGTCCAGAGGACAGGAGCAGGATTCAAAACGATCTTAACAGATTAGAGAGATGGGCCAAAACTAACAAAATGAAGTTCAACAGTGACAAATGCAAGATACTCCACTTTGGCAGAAAAAATGAAATGCAAAGATACAGAATGGGTGACGCCTGGCTCGAGAGCAGTACGTGTGAAAAAGATCTTGGAGTCCTCGTGTACAACAAGTTAAACATGAGCCAACAATGTGATGTGGCGGCAAAAAAAGCCAATGGGATTTTGGCCTGCATCAATAGGAGCATAGTGTCTAGATCTAGGGAAGTCATGCTACCCCTCTATTCTGCCTTGGTTAGACCACACCTGGAATATTGTGTCCAATTCTGGCCACCACAATCAAAGAGAGATATTGACAAGCTGGAATGTGTCCAGAGGAGGGCGACTAAAATGATCAAGGGTCGGGAGAACAAGCCCTATGAGGAGCGGCTTAGGGAACTGGGCATGTTTAGCCTGAAGAAGAGAAGGCTGAGAGGAGATATGATAGCCATGTATAAATATGTGAGAGGACGCCACAGGGAGGAGGGAGCAAGCTTGTTTTCTGCTTCCTGGAGACTAGGACGCGGAACAATGGCTTCAAACTACAAGAGAGGAGATTCCATCTGAACATGAGGAAGAACTTCCTGACTGTGAGAGCTGTTCAGCAGTGGAACTCTCTGACCTGGAGTGTGGTGGAGGCTCCTTCTTTGGAAGCTTTTAAACAGAGGCTGGATGGCCATCTGTCAGGGGTGATTTGAATGCAATATTCCTGCTTTTTGGCAGGGGGTAGGACTGGATGACCCATGAGGTCTCTTCTAACTCTTTGATTCTATGATTCTCTGCCCTGGAGTGTGGTGGAGGCTCCTTCTTTGGAGGTTTTTTGCTGAGGTGTTCCAGCGAGTGTCTCTGTAGATCTTAGAAAACTATGTCTTGATTTAAGTCGTTGACGTGCTGGCTGATACCCAAACAGGGGATGAGCTGGAGATGTCTCTGCCTTGGTCCTTTCACTATTGGCTGCCACTTCCCGGCGGCTGTCAGCTGGTGCAATACCGGCTAGACAGTGTAATTTCTCCAGTGGTGTAGGGCGCAGACACCCTGTGATAATGCGGCATGTCTCATTAAGAGCCACATCCACTGTTTTAGCGTGGTGAGATGTGTTCCACACTGGGCATGCATACTCAGCAGCAGAGTAGCATAGCGCAAGGGCAGATGTCTTCACTGTGTCTGGTTGTGATCCCCAGGTTGTGCCAGTCAGCTTTCATATGATATTGTTTCTAGCGCCCACTTTTTGCTTGATGTTCAGGCAGTGCTTCTTGTAGGTCAGAGCACGGTCCAAAGTGACTCCCAGGTATTTGGGTGTGTTGCAATGCTCCAGTGGGATTCCTTCCTTCCCAGGTAATCCTCAGAGCTCGGGATGCTTCTCTGTTCTTAAGGTGAAAGGTGCATGTCTGTGTTTTAGATGGATTAGGGATCAGCTGGTTTTCCCTGTAATAGGCAGTAAGAGCACCTAGAGCTTCGGAGAGCTTCTGTTCAACCGTCTCAAAGCTCCCTGCTTGAACAGTAATGGCACGATCATCAGCATAGATGAAGCTCTCTGTCCCTTCTGGCAGTGGCTGTTCATTTGTGTAGATGTTGAACATGGATGGAGCAAGCACGCTCCCCTGGGGCAGGCCGTTCTTCTGTTTCCGCCATCTGCTTCTCTGGCCCTGGAACTCAACATTCCCAGGTGTCAGATTGTTTTCCAAACCCAAATCCTGAGAGCTCACAGAAAGAGGGAGTGTACCATCATTGCTATGCCCAACAGGAATATTCTCATGAGAATCTGCCCTTTGCACTGGGGCCTCTCTGTCATTGTCTGCCTGAAAATCATTGACCAAATGGGCTCCATCTTGCAACTCAGCCTCGGCCCCATCATTTCCCTCATCATTTCCCACATCAGAAGCAGCATGATCTTAGAACACAAACACAGGCTGATTCCCAACAGCTTTCATGCATTGCTATCCTTCATTGGGGAAAGAATAGTTTTCAGTTCTCAGATCAAGCAACGTCGCAAATAGAGCAAGAAGCTCCTGCCTTGTTCCTCGTTTCAAGCCATGTCCTGGTCAAGTTTTGCTTCCAGTCTTGGGGATTTTACCATGGACTCAAGCTCATGTATTGTTCTTTGATTCTTGGACTACTCAAGTTGATGTTTTATTCCTTGTCTTTGGATTAATCAAACTCATGATTGTGCCCTGCACCTTGGATCAATGTTCATGCTTTAACCTTTGCATTGGAGATTTGTCTCTGGCTTTTGGGACTCCTTCTGTCTTACATATTTGGATTTTTTACTCTTTTACTGTGTGTGCTTTTGCAATAAACGGTTCATTACTACGCTTGTCTTCCTGGGGAGTGCTTGAGCAAGGGGAGCTCTAGCTGAGGTGCAACACCTGCTAAGACCCCAGATCTCTTTCTGGATTTTTTTCGGGTCAAACCCCACCCATCCTAGACCTCTTGTCTTTCATTGCTATTGCTGAACTCTACCAGTTTGCAAATTAGATTAAACCCTGCTTTTTTCTGCAGCTGCGAAGCCCAGAACCTTGTCCTGAAGGCGAGGGGAACGACGGTGTCAGATGTCATCTGTGGTGAGTGACCCACAACCAGGAGGGGAGAACCAAGGCAAAGTGAGGTGGGGGGGGGGTCATTGTTTGTTCAAGGAATAACCCCAATGATCTCTCTTCCCCACAGACACCCCGCCCCCTCCTGCCCAAAAGGACACAGAGAGGACCCACTTGTTGGCATTGCTCCCCGTGGCGGGCCTCCTTCTCCTGGGGGGCTTCTTGGCTGTCTGCTATTGGCTCCGAGGCAGGGGTAAGTCCTTGTTTGGGGTGCATGGGGTGCCACCGAATGCTGGGGGGGGGGCTTTGGCCTTGGGAGGGGGAGCAGCACCCTCAGTGCCGCCCAATGACCAACCCCATGTCTGCTGTTCCAACCTCAATGCCCAAGCGCCATTGGAAAGGGTCCAGATCCCAGCCTGATCGAGTTCCTTCCCAGGAGGAAGGCAGATTGGAGGGTCTTCTAGAGATCCGGAGGACTTGGGGCAGGTTCCTTGGGTTGTCCCCAAATTGGGTTGTGTTGTTTCCAGAGTCTTATCCTTTGGCTCTTCCTTGGCCTTTGGGTCAGTTAAGAGGTTGTCCCCAACCCTAACCCTCAGCTATGTTGTATCGGTTGAGGTTTGATGAGAGATTAATGAAAAAACTAGAGCTCTTCTTTGGCCTTTGGGTCAGTTAAGAGGTTGCCCCTCACCCTAACCTCTTTGGCCTTTGGGTCAGTTAAGAGGTTGCCCCTCACCCTAACCTTCACCTATGTTGCATCGGTTGAGGTTTGATGAGAGATTAATGAAAAATCTAGAGCAAAATATGCTGCTCCTGCTAGGGAGATGATGGGCCAAAACTCAGACAAGGAAGTTCAACAGGGACAAATGCAAGAGACTCCACTTAGGCAGAAAAAAGGAAATGCAAAGAGACAGAATGGGGGGGGGGGGGAATGATGCTTAGCTCAATAGCAGGGCGTGTGGAAAAGATAATGGAGTCCACGTGGGGAGGAAGGGGAACATGAGCCAGGAATGTCATGCAGCAGCAAAAAAAAAGCCAATGGGAATTTGGCCTGTATCAAGAGGAGCCTAGTGCCTAGATTTAGGGAAGTCATGCTACTCCCTATTCTATTCTGCCTTGGTCAGACCACACCTGGAATCACACTGCGTCCAATTCTGGGCATCACAATTGAAGGGAGATGTTGACAAGCTGGAATGTGTCCAGAGGAAGAAGGAGACTCACAGGATCCAGGGTCTGGAGAACAAGCCCTATGAGGAGCGGCTTAAGGAGCTGGGCATGTTTAGCCTGCAGAGGAGAAGGCGGAGAGAAGACATGATGAGAGCCATGTATAAATATGTGAGAGGAAGTCCTAGGAAGGAGGGAGCAAGCTTGTTTTCTGCTTCCCTGGAGAGAGACTAGGGCACAATAGAGCAATGGCTTCAAACTACAGGAAAGGAAGGAGATTCCACCTGAACATGAGGAAGAACTTCCTGACTGGGAGAGCTGTTCAGCAGTGGAACTCTCTGCCCCTTGTGGAGTGTGCTGGACGACTCCTTCCTTGGAGGCTTTGAAGCAGAGGCTGGATGTTGGGGATGCTTGGAGTGTGATTGTCCTGCTTCTTGGCAGAATTGGGTTGGACTGGATGATGGGCCACCAGGTCTCTTCCAACTCGAGGAGTCTATGAAACATCTCCTCATTGAGTCTCAACCAATTCAACACAGCTTGTGCCAGAAAAGCAAGGTTTCTGGAGTATAACAACTACCTTGAAAGTAAGGATTGCACAATTAAACAGGAAATAACACTTTCAGATCAGGAACCCATTTTATTTTTCAAACTAGCTGTCCCCTGCCATGTGTTGCTGTGGCGTAGTCTGTATATATGTTGTGTGTGTATGTATATGTGTATATATGTGTTTTCATAGATAGATAGATAGATAGACAGATAGACAGATAGACAGATAGACAGATAGATAGATAGATAAAAATTAATGTTCATTTGTGGGATTAACATAACTCAAACACCACTGTATGAATTGACACCAAATTTGGACACACTACACCTATCAGGCCAATGAGTGACCATCACCCCTAAAACACACACAAAAAACCAGCAGAACAGACTTAAACCCCCCCCCCCCAAATAAACTATATATACATATACACATACACTCATATACATATACACATGCGCACATACATACATACAGACAGACAGACACACAAATATATCAGTATCTATCTATGTACAGTATATATGCAAACGCATATATACACAAATATATAGATAGATGGGTGTATCGTGTGTGTATATATTGGTGTATTTCTGTTTTTATATGTGTATATGTATATTGTGTATATGTGTGTGCTTCTGTCTATATTTGTATGTATGTCTGTATGTATATGTGTGTGTATGCATGTGTATATGTAAATATATGTGTATGTACATGTATGTGTGCATGTGGATATTTGTGTGTGCTTGTGTATATATGTGTGTGTTGATTTCTATAAGAGGAGCATTGCTTGGGGCACAAAATGAGAATCATAGAATCATAGAATCAAAGAGTTGGAAGAGACCTCATGGGCCATCCAGTCCAACCCCCTTCTGCCAAGAAGCAGGAATATTGCATTCAAATCACCCCTGACAGATGGCCATCCAGCCTCTGCTTAAAAGCTTCCAAAGAAGGAGCCTCCACCTTTGGAAGCTTTTAAGCAGAGGCTGGAGGGTGATGCTCTGCAAAATAGGAGGCAAAAAGGGGGGGGGGGACCATTTGGAGATCCTCCCATTGAAGCCCTGGATTGACGGAGGCTTTCCCTTCTTCCGCATCAGGTCTCCAGAAGCAGCAGCAACATCAGCCACAGCAACACAACCAGGTAGGTGTTCCTTTGGGGCAGACCCCATAATATTGAGTTGTGGGAGGATGCCCACCTTCCTCTGCAGGACACAGCATGAGAACGGGACCCCAAGAGGCCATCTAGTCCATCCCCCCGCCCCTTAGTGGCCAGTGCAGGGGAGACCCACGTCCCTGCTGTGCAGGCTGTTCTGGAAGCAAGCAGGTCAAGGCACACCTTTGCCATCAGGTCTTGATGCCATCAGCTGCGCCCGTATCTTGGGAAGTCTGACTTGGCCACGGTGGTACACGCTCTGGTCACATCCCGTCTTGACTACTGCAACGCTCTCTACGTGGGGCTGCCCTTGAAGACGGCCCGGAAGCTTCAGCTAGTCCAGCGCGCGGCAGCCATGTTACTAACGGGAGCGGGACGCAGGGAGCACACAACGCCCTTGTTGTCCCAGCTCCACTGGCTGCCGATCTGCTACCGGGCCCAATTCAAGGTGCTGGTGTTATCCTACAAAGCCCTAAACGGTTCCGGCCCAAAATACCTTTCGGACCGCATCTCGGCCTATGAGCCCACGAGGGCCTTGAGATCATCCGGGGAGGCCCTTCTCTCGATCCCGCCCGCCTCACAGGCACGTCTGGCGGGGACGAGAGAGAGGGCCTTCTCAGTGGTGGCCCCCCGGCTGTGGAACACCCTCCCTGTTGACATCAGACAGGCGCCCTCCCTTATGGCTTTTCGTAAGGGCTTAAAAACGTGGCTATTCGAGAAGGCATTCAATTGAGACCCACACGAATCTGGTAATGACATTTGGAACGGACTATGGATTATGAGATTGGCTATGATTCTATGTTGTGATGGCGCGGATCTATTAGTGTGATTTAGATTAATGTGTAATTCGGTTGTTGTTATATTGTATGTTTTTGTAGACTGTTTTTACATGTTGTACACCGCCGCGAGTCGCCCCAGGGCTGAGAGCGGCGGTCAACAAATGAAGTAAATAAATAAATAAATAAATAAATAAATTGAAGGAGGAGGAGGGGGAAGTTGCCGGTGGCAGGCTGGGTCAGGTGCTTAGCTCTTACGTGGGAGTTTAATTGTATTTTTAAATATAGTTTAACTCTGTAGTCATGACACAAATAATTAATTTTAAATAAAAATAGCAACTTCATTTTTTTTTAAAATGGTAGTGGGTTTGTGTTGTGTCATGATATTATTTATTTATTTATTTGGTAGTTTTGTATCCCGGTCTTCTCACCTCCATTCGAGGGACTCGGGCCGGTTTCCAACATCAGTATTACAGACCGTCATTAAAACATCCTATTTCTAAATCACACTCAAACATTAAAACATTGAAACAATTAAAATGGCAAAAATACAATCATATGATTACAGTGGTCAGTCGTCATCAAAGTCATTATTCGTCGTCATCCATCCATATCACAGGGTCATGGCTCATTCGTTGAATGCCAATCCCCAAAGCCAGGTTTTCACCTGTTTCCTGAACGTTAAGATCGAAGGGGCAGTTCTGATCTCCAGTGGAAGGGAGTTCCAGAGTCGAGGGGCCACCACCGAGAAGGCCCTGTCTCTTGTCCCCACCAGCCGCGCCTGTGAAGCTGGTGGGATCGAGAGCAGGGCCCCTCCAGACGATCTTAGCAATCTTGATGGCTCATGGGGGAGGATACGTTAGTCAACATGAGTCCTTATGGGAAGAAAGGCAGGATAGATATAAAGATGATGATGGTGATGATGATGAGCTGCCTTGAGTCCCTATGGGGAGAAAGGTGTGCTAGAAATAAAGATGATGATGATGACGACAACGATGACAAGAGCAACAACAATCCTTGAGTCCCTAAGGGGAGAAAAGTGGGGTAGAAATGATGATGATAATGATGAAAAACATCATCGTCATCATCCTTGAGTCCCAACGGAGAGAAAGGTGAGATAGAAATGATGATGAAGTAAGCCGCCCCGAGTCCCTGTTGGGAGAGATGGTGGCAGGGTATAAATAAAGATGATGATGATTATTTTTATTATTCTTATTATGAGCTGCCTTGAGTCCCTATGGGGAGAAAGGTGTGCTGGAAATATGATGATGATGATGATGATGATGATGATGATGATGATGACGATGATGACAACAACGACAATAACAATAATAATCCTTGAGTCCCTCAGGGGAGAAAAATGGGATAGAAGTAATGATGAAGATGGAGATAATAATAATAATAATAATCAACATCAACATCATCCTTAAATCCCAATGGGGAGAAAGGCGGGATAGAAATGGTGATGATGATGATGATGATGATGATGATGATGGTGAGCTGCCTTGAGTCCCTCAGGGGAGAAAAGTGGGATAGAAGTAATGATGAAGATGGAGATAATAATAATAATAATAATAATAATAATAATAATAATAATCAACATCAACATCAACATCATCCTTAAATCCCAATGGGGAGAAAGGCGGGATAGAAATGGTGATGATGATGATGATGATGATGATGATGGTGAGCTGCCTTGAGTCCCTCAGGGGAGAAAAGTGGGATAGAAGTAATGATGAAGATGGAGATAATAATAATAATAATAATAATAATAATAATCAACATCAACATCATCCTTAAATCCCAATGGGGAGAAAGGCGGGATAGAAATGGTGGTGATGATGATGATGATGATGATGATGATGATGATGGTGAGCTGCCTTGAGTCCCTCAGGGGAGAAAAGTGGGATAGAAGTAATGATGAAGATGGAGATAATAATAATAATAATAATAATAATAATAATAATAATCAACATCAACATCATCCTTAAATCCCAATGGGGAGAAAGGCGGGATAGAAATGGTGGTGATGATGATGATGATGATGATGATGATGATGATGATGATGATGATGATGGTGAGCTGCCTTGAGTCCCTCAGGGGAGAAAAGTGGGATAGAAGTAATGATGAAGATGGAGATAATAATAATAATAATAATCAACATCAACATCATCCTTAAATCCCAATGGGGAGAAAGGCGGGATAGAAATGGTGATGATGATGATGATGATGATGATGATGGTGAGCTGCCTTGAGTCCCTCAGGGGAGAAAAGTGGGATAGAAGTAATGATGAAGATGGAGATAATAATAATAATAATAATAATAATAATAATAATAATAATAATCAACATCAACATCATCCTTAAATCCCAATGGGGAGAAAGGCGGGATAGAAATGGTGATGATGATGATGATGATGATGATGATGGTGAGCTGCCTTGAGTCCCTCAGGGGAGAAAAGTGGGATAGAAGTAATGATGAAGATGGAGATAATAATAATCAACATCAACATCAACATCAACATCAACATCATCCTTAAATCCCAATGGGGAGAAAGGCGGGATAGAAATGGTGATGATGATGATGATGATGATGATGATGATGATGGTGAGCTGCCTTGAGTCCCTATGGGGAGAAAGGTGTGCGAGAAATAAAGATGATGATGATGATAACGACAACAACAACAACAACAATAATAATCCTTGAGTCCCTAAGGGGAGAAAAGTGGGATAGAAATAATGATGATGATAATGATAATCATCATCAATATCAACATCATCATCATCATCATCCTTGAGTCCCAATGGGGAGAAAAGTGGGATAGAAATAATGATGATGATGATGATAATAATCATCATCAATATCAACATCATCATCATCATCATCCTTGAGTCCCAATGGGGAGAAAAGTGGGATAGAAATAATGATGATGATGATGATGATGATAATCATCATCAATATCAACATCATCATCATCATCATCCTTGAGTCCCAATGGGGAGAAAAGTGGGATAGAAATAATGATGATGATGATGATGATAATAATAATCATCATCAATATCAACATCATCATCCTCCTTGAGTCCCAATGGGGAGGAAAAAAAAGCAGGATAAAAATGATGATGATGATGATGATGAGCTGCTTTGAGTCCCTATGGGGATAGAAATAAAGTTGATAGTAATCATATCAACTTTAGGATAGATAAAGTGGGGTATAAATAAATAAATATAATCAGAATCATCATAGTCACCATCATCTTCTGCCTTGAGTCCCTATGGAGAGAAAGCCAAATAGAAATGAAGATGATGATGAAGATGATGATGTGCCTGCCATAAGTCCCTCTGAGGAGAAAGGTGGGCTAGAAATAGTTAATAATAATAATAATAATAATAATAATAATAATAATAATCTGCCTTAAGTCCCTGTGGGGAGAAAGGTGGGATAGAAATGATGATGGGGATGATGGTGAGCTGCCTTGAGTCTCCTTGAGAGAGAGAAAGTGGGAGACACATAACTATAAATGAAATAATCACAACAAGAACACCTCCAAGGGAAGGGGAACTTTCCAAAAGGTGTGGAAGCAACCAAGGGTGTGGCCCTGCTCTGCCTTTGAGCATGCGACTACACTGTGGAAATAGGGCAGTTTGGCACCGCTGGAGTTGCCGTGGTCCAGTGGTGGGGATTCCTGGGGTGGGTAGTTTTGCAAGGCTCTAGCCTTCTCTGGCCAAACTCCGGCTCCCAGGATTCTGGAGCATCGCTCCCTCCATTTGAAGCGGGGTCAAATGCACCCTAACCCTTAGTCTGTGTCCCCCCTACAGGACCCTCACCGACTGGATGATCCAATAGAGATGGACGAGGAGTGCCCTGCTTTTCCCATCCAGGAGACACTGCTGGGGGCCAAGCCCATGGCCCAGGAGGAGGGCAAGGAGGCCCGCCTGGCCGTCCAGGAGCAGGCCTGAGCAGCCGGGCGGGGGTCTCCCCATGCCCACCAGGAGAAGAACCGAGGGCTGGTGCAGCTTGCAAGGACTTCTCAGGGCAAAGTCCCACAGGGTGCCCATGCAACTTGCAAGGACCTCCATAGGGTTCTAATGCAACGTGTAGGGACGTCTCAATGCAAAACCCCAAAGGGTGCCCATGCAGCTTGCAGGGCCTTCTCAGCACAAAGACCCACAGGGTGCCCATGCAACTTGCAAGGACTTCTCAATGCAAAGACCCACAGGGTGCCCATGCAACTTGCAGAGACTTCCATAGGGTGCAAATGCACCTTGCAAGGACTTCTCAATGCAAAGACCCACAGGGTGCCCATGCAACTTGCAGGGACTTCCATAGGGTGCCAATGCAACTTGTAGGGACTTCTCAATGCAAAGACCCACAGGATACCCATGCAACTTGCAGGGACTTCCATAAGGCGCCAATGCAACTTGCAAGGGCTTCTCAGGGCAAAGTCCCACAGGGTGCCCATGCAACTTGCAGAGACTTCTCAGTGCAAAATCCCACAGGGTGCCCATGCAACTTGCAGGGACTTCCATAGAGTGCCCATGCAACTTGTAGGAACTTCTCAGGGCAAAGTCCCACAGGGTGCCCATGCAACTTGCAGGGACTTCCATAGAGCGCCAGTGCAACTTGCAAAAAGTTCTCAATGCAAAGCTCCAGTTTGCAAGGACTTCTCAGTGCAAAGCCCCAAAGCAGCACAGGTTGCTCTATGCAAGGGCCCCACACCAAGAAGGAAGCTGGAGAGGCTTCCCAATGGGCCAGGTCAACTGGACCAGTGCTGTCTTGGGTTGCCAGGACAGGCTCTGCAGGAAAGGACCTACTGCCCTTTCCTTGCTGAATGGTCAAGGATGCTTCAATGCAGGCCAAAGGCAATGGGATCTTGCCTTTTCCAGAAGGGAAACCGGGTCCGGCAGATAATCATAATCCAATGCCCGGTTGCACTTTGGAAGCTGGTCTCTTTTTCCTTCTCCCCAGAGCCGGCCAAAGAGCGAGTCCACATTTTGCAGAATTAACAGAGGCAGCATTGGAGCTGGACTTTGCAAACCAGGGTTCAAGTCCACACTCTGCTTTTTAATTCTGCCATTCAAAGCAACCCCAAAGCCACTGCATGGCTGAGAATCAACACATCAGAAAGCAGAGGCCATCCAGTCCAGCCCTCTTCTGGCATGCAGAAAGACACCATCTAAGCCCTCTCGACAGATGGCCATCTGGCCTCTGATGAAAGACCTCTAGAGATGGAATCCTCCCACCCCACCCCCCGCCCCCAGAATCCCAGTCTATTTATATTCCCCCAAAGGCCATCCAGGCCAACCCTTTTCTTCCTGCCAGACAGGGATACACAACCTAAACCCTCCTGACAGATGGCCTTTGTGTCAAATGCAACGAAGGATGACATTTTGCAACCAACGTGTGACTGACTTTGCTCCCTCCTCTGCCATTTTGTGTTATTTTCTCTCTCTCTTGTGTTGATAAATAAATGTATATATTTTTGGTTTAACGAAGCCCTCAGGTGTGCTCTCTTTGGGGATGACGGGAGCTCACCTCTTTGTGTGTGCCCAAAAGGTGTATTACAGGTAAGCCTGGTCTTGCCTTCGGAGCTTGGAGGGCAACAAACTCCCAGCATACCTCACCACTAGTTAGGAGGAACTGAACCCTTTTGTAGTCCCGCATTACGCAGAGGAAGGCTGCCCAATGTGCCTACTTGATCTAGAAAGCCGAGAATCTTTGAACTGGAAGGGACCCCCAAAGGGCATCTAGTCCAGCCCCCTTCTGCCGTATGGGAATATACCCCTCAAAGATGCTCATCCAGCCTCTCTTTAAAGGCCTCCGAAAACGGAGGGTCTGCCGCCCTCCAAAGCCATCTCTTCCACTCTGGAGCAGCTCTTCCAGGAAAGAAAGCACTTCTTCATTCTTAGCTTTCTCTTTCTTTGCAATCTGAGTCCATCAGTTCGTGTTTCCCCCTCTGGAGCAGAAGGAGAAAGCCTCACGTCAATACCAGGCAAGATTCCAGCAGATTGGAGGAGGGCCAATGTGGCCCCAGTCTTCAAGAAGGAAACAAAGGATGACCCAAACAACTACCGTCCGGTCAGCCTCACGTCGATACCAGGCAAGATTCTGGAAAAGATTGTTAAGGAAGTGGTCTGCAAACACTTAGAAACAAATGCAGTCATCGCTAAGAGTCAACATGGATTTCTCAAAAACAAGTCATGCCAGGCTCATCTGATCTCTTTCTTCGATAGAGCTACAAGCTGGGTAGATGCGGGGAATGATGCCATGGATGTGGCGTGTCTGGATTTCAGGAAGGCCTTCTTGGACAAGGTCCCCCATGACCTTCTGGCAAGGAAACTAGTCCAAGGTGGGTGAGGCAAAACTACGGTGAGGTGGATCAGAAATTGGTTAAATGGACAAACCCAGAGGGTGATTCTCCCCAAGGCTTCCTCCTCTTCATCCTGGAAAGGAGTGACGAGCAGAGTGCCACAAGCAGGGTTCCCTCCTGGGCCCGGTCCTGCTCAGGATCTTCATTCATGACTTAGATGAAGGGATAGAAGGAATGATCATCAAGTTTGCAGACGACACCAAATTGGGAGGGATAGCCAATAGTCCAGAGGACAGGAGCAGGACTCAAAACGATCTTGACAGATTAGAGAGATGAAAGGCCAAAGCTAACAAAATGAAGTTCAGCAGTGACAAATGCAAGAGACTCCACTTTGGCAGGAAAAGCAAAATGCAAAGATACAGAATGGGGGACGATGAGGCCTGGCTCGAGAGCAGTACGTGTGAAAAAGATCTTGGAGTCCTTGTGGACAACAAGTTAAACATGAGCCAACAATGTGATGTGGCGGCAAAAAAAGCCAATGGGATTTTGGCCTGCATCAATAGGAGCATAGTGTCTAGATCTAGGGAAGTCATGCTACCCCTCTATTCTGTTTTGGTTTAGACCACACCTGGAATATTGTGTCCATTCTGGGCACCACAATTCAAGAGAAATATTGACAAGCTGGAATGTGTCCAGAGAAGGGCGACTAAAATGATCAAGGGTCTGGAGAACAGCTTAAGGAGCTGGGCATGGTTAGCCTGAAGAAGAGAAGGCTGAGAGGAGATATGATAGCCATGTATAAATATGTGAGAGGAAGCCACAGGGAGGAGGGAGCAAGCTTGTTTTCTGCTTCCTTGGAGACTAGGATGCAGAACAATGGCTTCAAACTACAAGAGAGGAGATTCCATCTGAACATGAGGAAGAACTTCCTGACTGTGAGAGCCGTTCAGCAGTGGAACTCTCTGCCCCGGAGTGTGGTGGAGGCTCCTTCTTTGGAAGCTTTTAACAGAGGCTGGATGGCCATCTGTCAGGGGTGATTTGAATGCAATATTCCTGCTTCTTGGCAGAATGGGGTTGGACTGGATGGCCCGTGAGGTCTCTTCCAACTCTAGGATTCTATGATTCTATGAGTTGGAAGAGACCTCCTGGTCCATCCTCCAGTCCAACCCCATTCTGCCAAGAAGCAGGAATATTGCATTCAAAGCACCCCTGACAGATGGCCATCCAGCCTCTGTTTAAAAGCTTGCAAAGAAGGAGCCTCCACCACACTCTGGGGCAGAGAGTTCCACTGCTGAACAGCTCTTCCAATCGGGAAGTTCTTCCTCATGTTCAGATGGAATCTCCTCTCTTGTAGTTGGAAGCATTGTTCCATTGCGTCCTAGTCTCCAGGGAAGCAGAAAGGGAGCTTGCTCCTTCCTCCTTGTGACTTCTGCATATCTAAGGTTGTTAATGTTTCTTCCAGCAATTTTAACTCCACAAATTGGATTGGTCAAGCCCTGCTCCTTGCATGATGTGTTCTGCATACAAGTTGAATAGGTTGGGGGAGAGTAGACAACCCTGCCATCCTCCATTCCCAATGTTGAACCAGTCTCCTGTTCCATGGTCAGTTCTGACTGTTGCTCCTTGGTCCTGATACAGATCCCTCAGGAGAGAGACAAGGTCACTTCGGATCCCCATACGTACCACCAAGAACTTGCCACAATATATTAAGACCCACACAGTCAAGGGCTTTAGAATACAGTCTTTAGAAGCTCCAAATCTGCCCTTACTTACTTACTTACTTAGTTAGGCGATCCCTCGTTGGACGAGTAAGATGGTCTTCCATTGTGGATTTCCTTGTGGGTCCGTACGTGGCTGTGGAGCCCTATTCTTGCTCTGCATCTTCTTCCGCAGTGAGGGCATTGGTTTCCAGGTGGAAGGCGGTCCCGGTCGGGGTTGGCTTGACGCGCCTTCCTCCTGGCACGTTTCTCTCTTTCCCCCTCCACTCGTGCCTCCTCAAATTCTGCAGCACTGCTGGTCACAGCTGACCTCCAGCTGGAGCGCTCAAGGGCCAGGGCTTCCCAGTTCTCAGTGTCTATGCCAGAGTTTTTAAGGTTGGCTTTGAGCCCATCTTTAAATCTCTTTTCCTGTCCACCAACGTTTCGTTTTCCGTTCTTAAGTTCGGAGTAGAGCAACTGCTTTGGGAGACGGTGGTCAGGCATCCGGACAACGTGGCCGGCCCAGCGGAGTTGATGTTGGAGGACCATCGCTTCAATGCTGGTGGTCTTTGCTTCTTCCAGCACACTGACGTTTGTCCGCTTGTCTTCCCAGGATATCTGCCCTACTCCTGGTCCGGTCCCATATTCACATGCTTCCAGTGTCCTTCACAAGAAACAGTGACCCTTTCTGCCCACCAGGGGGCGCCCTGCCCACGCGCAACACCTTCCTTCCTTCCTTCCTTTTTCCTTCCAGGCTCTCAAGCAATATCCTTATATTTACTCTTCTTAGAATCATAGACTCCTGGAGTTGGAAGGGACACCCAAAAGCCACCCAAGCTCTGCTGAAAAACCTCCAGAGAAGGAGACCCACACCCCGCCCAACCCGACTCTTTGAAAGGCAGCAGAAAGGCAGCCAGCCATCTGTCCGGCCCACATTTCACGGGGACCCTGGGAGGACCCCCACGCCTCTCCATCCCCACAGCCCCGTCCAGGAGGAAGAGGTCCGGAAACCCCAGAAGATGGAATGGGAGCAGGATGAAGCCTCGCAGCCAGTTTGGATGGATCTAGCTAAATGAATCCTGTGGCTTTGGTGTGACTCACAGCAGCTCCAGAGGAAATCAGATTGGCCCAATTTGATTCCGAGATGCAACAACATGGCTATCATGTCTCCTCTCAGCCTTCTCTTCTTCAGGATAAACATGCCCAGCTCCTTAAGCCGCTCCTCATAGGGCTTGTTCTCCAGACTCTTGATCGTTTTAGTCGCCCTCCTCTGGACACATTCCAGCTTGTTCCACTGCTGAACTGCTCTCACAGATGACACAAGAGACTTGTGCAGTCCAGGGATGAAATCCAACACAGGAACTTCCTGAGAGATTGTGGAGCCTCCTTCTGTTGAAATCTTCAAACAGAGGCTGGCTGGTCATCTGGCGGGAGTGCTTAGATGACGTCTTCCTGGCTGGCAGAATGGGGTTGGACTGGATGGCCTTTGTGGTTCCCTTCCAGCTCTAGGATGCCATGACTGGGAATCCTCTGTCTGGCTCTTCCCCTTTGTTTTCCAAGTCCAGCTTGGTCCAAAACACACTCCCAGCTGTGTTGTTGCATCTCGGAATCAAATTGGGCCAATCTGATTTCCTCTGGAGCTGCTGTGAGTCACACCGAAGCCACAGGATTCATTTAGCTAGATCCATCCAAACTGGCTGCGAGGCTTCATCCTGCTCCCATTCCATCTTCTGGGGTTTCTGGACCTCTTCCTCCTGGACGTGGCTGTGGGGATGGAGAGGCGTGGGGGTCCTCCGTGGGTCTCCGCGAAATGTGGGCCGGACAGATGGCTGGCTGCCTTTCTGCTGCGTAGGCAAAGGCACACACGTCACTTGGCCTTTGGGCCTGTCCTTACCTGCCTTTCAAAACACAGGGCTTGCGGATCAGGTGGAGTCACCGTGAAAAGTGTCACCATCACAACACACAAAACAAAGCACCAAGGAAATAACAAAACAAGAGAGAGAAAGAGAGTGGAAACACATGTCGATTTTGCACGCGCTCCCCAAAGCCTTTCCAGCATGCTTCCTTTTGCATCTCCCAAACGAGTGTTGCTCCGAGGGGCAACACATCAAAGCAAGCTGTGAAACTTCGCCAAATGCTTCTTTGCCAATGGGCAGGGGCCCAAACAGGTTTGATGCACGGAACCGGAATGGCGCTCCCACGCAATGGATGCGCAAGGCGCAGGGAGCGCATGATGCACCTGGGAGGCACACAGACAAGGCACAGAAACTCTCTAAAACTCTAAAATTACAACAGCACAACAACAGAGAGGAAACAAACAAGGACATCTAATTACCTCTCAATAAAAGATTGCTCCAGGCAATGTCAAGCCATTATATGCTAATCAAGGTGGTCAGTGGAAACATTCACACCTAGCTCCAGCAGACAAGAGTCCTTTGTCCCGCCCTGGTCATTCCACAGATATATAAACTCATTGTC